GAACATGCGACAGGTTTAAATTTTTCTAAGATTTATTCCATCTGAGGAATAAAATGATTACATGCTCTGGTCCTAATGAGAAATTCTTAGAGTCAGGGCTTCACAGAGAAACAAAACACTCTACTCTCATCAATTAGCCAGGAGCTCTTTATTGTGCCATAGACCCCTTGGCAACTGGCAATGCCAACAAACCCTCTCAACATTTTTAAATGCAAAAAATAAAATGCATAGAATTATAAAAGAAGTCAATTAATCAAAAATGTTTTAAAACAAATTTGTAATATAGTCATGTATATGCTTCTTTATTAACATATTAAATAACAAGATCTAGTGGCTGGTCTAATATTAATCATAATTTCAGATTAACGGTGAATGTAAAATATATATATTGAGATAACTTCAAAAACTCTTATGTGAAATGAAGATAGATATCTGTGCTCTATATACCTGAAATTAATATAATACTGAACGTCAATTGTAAATGAAAAAAAAAACTGTAATTTCCATTGACGACAAAGGCACAGGTACTAAGAATACATTTATCGTTGAAGAAAATACTAAATCCTCAGGTGAGTATTAGTAAGAATATGTATGTATTTTTCCCTATCTTCTTCGAATTATATCCATGAACTCAAGGTTAAGAACTCCTGAGTTAAGCCAAGACTAACACAATCCAAAATGTCTGCTGTGATGATGGTGACATGGCCATAGACTGTTTTAGAATAATCCTGCATATCAGCTTAAGGAGGTCACAGGTCTTTGCATTATACTTTGCTTTCCAACATGGAAATACTATTGGGTGAAGGCATTCAGTCACTACTTATCCATGTAGATTTGTGGTGCACCCCTCTGGAGTCAAGGCTGGAAAGTCAAGGATTCAGGTGAGCTTTTGCCACTTGCAAGGTTGTGATAGATGAGCCTAGAGGTTGACATCTATTCCTGACATCCATTCCTGTCCAACAACTAATGTTCCACAATTCATAAATGTAATTCTTCTTTTCCCTTTCATATTCCATGCCCCTGGCTACTTCTTGTTTTATTCGCTTACCAGAAAGGGACTGCAAGCTATAAATGCGTTGCCTTGCAGAAAACATTCTCCTTCCTCCCAGGAATCCCAAAGTTGCTCCCTTTCAGCCCTTAGACTTGATACTGAATCTGGCTGAGACTCTCATCCCAGTACCATTCCTCCTGTTGCCCTTTCTAACCTTCACATACCTTTCTGAGTCTTTTTGCAAGATGAGATATCATTCCAGGTCTGGTAGTATATGACCTCATGGGCTAAAATGAATTCTTCTTGTGGAGACTCTACAGAACAGTGGTTAAAGAGCATGGACTCTGGAGACAAACCCCTGGGTATGTTACTTAATCTCACTATACCTCAGTTTTCTCATAGGGTAGTTATAACGACAAAATTCTTTAATGCTTATAAGCTTGAAAGTAAATGGCATATAATGAGCACTCAATAAATATTAGTAGTTATTACTTGTCAGCCCTTGGCTGATTCTAGGCTGTTGCTGTCACCCTCAGCAAAGTTTTCCAATTCCCACTTTTGCACATTCTCTCACACTCTGTATTCCTGGGCCATTCACTTAAGTGACAACTGAGGGCTCTTTTTAATCTTCTGAGACCTGAGCTAGAGAGAAAGAATCTAGAAATTATATAATTAATAATAATAATAATAATAATAATAGCAGCTGACATTTGTTGGAAAGTTCCTGCTATGCCAAATATTTGTTGTATATCTTATTTAATGCACCCCAACAATCCCACAAGTCGGAATTATTATTATTCTCATTTATGGTTGATGAATCAAGCTCAGAGGGATTATTTGCCATTCAAGGTCACACAGATCCTTTCACTAAATTAAAGCCCATCTCAATCTAGCCAATAGGCTGTCTTCCTAAGGACACGAGGTAGCCACAGAGAAGCATCTGGGATGAGTTATAGAGAGTAGTTCAGGTCTTCTCTGAAACCACTCTGGTGCTCTGTATTCAGCCATCTTGGAGGAGACTTGGCTTAGAGGTGGCCATCTGGCATCAGCTCATGCAGCTTTTGTGAAGTCACATGTGGTCCTGGAGTTGCCAGGAAAAAGGATGCCTTGATGAGCCAAAATGCAAATTCCTTAGGAGAGGAAAAGTGAAAGTGAGCTAGTTCACACTGTGCAGGGCTCCAAGGAAATGACACAACTCAGGAGACTCAGTGTCCTGCTGCTAGGCTCCATCATATTATAGGGCATTATTTTGCATTCGATCATAAACTTGCCTCCCAACAGTTTTGCTTCTCTGACCAGTAAGAGAGGAAAAGATGACCCAAATTAAAAAGAAGTCGGTATTTGAAACATTAAAGTAAGATGCCTCCAGACATTTAAAATACAATCCACTGGAAACCTAAGGTGGGGGTGCTGGTGCATGTTTTCCTCACCAATCCCTAGAGTTTCCTTTATCCTGGAGATAAGTTGCTCAGAGCAAGTCAAGACCAGAAGAAAGGAATTTGGGGATCTAGTTTGTTCATATCCGAAAGATTTTCTAGGGCCTTTGTTGGAGGTTCCAAAAATTCTTCTTTGCTTTTACTCCTTTTTCTCTGTCTCTCTACTTGTTTTTCCTTCTTTCTCTGACTCTGTTCTTCTTCTCTCAACTTCTTGTTTTCTTTCTCTCTCCTGGTCTTGCCTTCTCCAGAATGCCTGTCCCACTGGCCTGCCCATTCTCTCTCAAAGGCTTACCTGGTGGCCCTCAATGCCTAAGGGAAGGCTTATTTTCCTTTAACCAAGCCCAGGTCTAGGTTACCTGGACTTTGAATGCACTTTTCATTAATAAATTCTTGTCTACACTCCTCCTTGTCTACTCCCCCCCATCCCGTTTTTTTCCCCTCTCCCAGACCTTTCTAAGTTATATTTATAATCAAAGACTGGGATCTAAGGGATCTGCAATTGTTGGCATTTTAGACCAGCACAATTAACGCCATTGTTCATGGAATGTTGTCTCAGAGGGTTTACTGAGGAACATTTAGAGACAGATTTTTTTAAAGACTGTTTAAAAGTCCTTTAGAAAAACTATCAGAAGTTAGATCCAAAGGTTTGAAATTTCTAAATGAAACCTGCAAGCCATGTTTGGATGTTTAAGGTGAGAAGCCCTGATAAATTCAAGCCAGATCAGCTACTAATCATCAGACCAGAGGAGGCAGACTGTGGCTTCCCTTCAAATGTCACATGAGAGGAACTGGCTTATCTATTTATAAGGCCCAACCAAACAGATACCAAGGTAAATTCCAGAAGTCCACCCAGCCTTCTGCTTGAAGAAGGCGGCCCAGCCAAACAGTTCAATGTAGAGGGTAAATTCCGTCTTGGAGCTGTAGTAATGACTCCTTCCTTCCAAACGGGGATCACTGAAGCTGCCAGAGGCCCCCCTACCCACACCACACACACACACACACACACACACACACACACACACACACACACCCCTGTTCCCAATGTAGTTCTAATTCTTGAACCTTCTCATCTGGATTTCTTATAGTGTAGTTCAGTAGTTCTCCTATCCTCTATAGAGCTTGTTAAAGCACAGATTGCTGGGTCCTACTCTCAGAATTTCTGATTATTTAGGTCTAGGATAAAGTCTAAGAATTCCTGCACCTAACAAGTTTCCAGTGATGCTGATACTGCTGGTCCTGGGACCACACTTTAGGAACCACTGTTACAGTTAACATGCAAGCTCTGGAATCAGATTTCCTGGATTCAAAGGCTGGCCCCAACATTTACGTGGAGGACTCCTGAGCAAGTTAACCTCTCTGTTGCCTCAGTGTCCTCATCTGTATAAAAGAACATGAGGATAGGAATTATATCTGCTTCATGATATTGTTTCGAGGGGCAGATGAGATAATGCATGGAAAGCACAGTCTGGTACATGCAAGTGCTCACTAATTCCAGTGGTTGTTGATGTCATTTCTCCAAACACACCAATGTTGCAGCATTGTTCTCCACCCAGTGCCTTCCTGATCCACCTGCCCATGCAGAGACTCTCTAGTGTCCCTGGGTAAGGAAGATCTGCAGACTTAAGGAAGCTGGACTGCAAGGACCCTCCAGTCCTGAGACGCCTGCACTCAGAATCCACTGTTGAGTCTTTCTCAAAGTCAGGTATTCAAATCCTGTCTTTATTGCCTAAAGTTTACTGGGCCTCATCCTAGGCACTGAACTGAACGTTTTTATCAATACCCTGGTGTTCTTTTGTGTTCAGTCACTGGGAAACAAATAAGCACAAACCAGAAGAATCCTGCCTGCTGTCTTAAGCACTACATTTTATACTGGCTGAATTTGGCTGTATAAATTTCAACTCCCCAACCAGCCTAGGTTTCAAGAGTCCCTGCAGCTTCTAGAGATTTTGTACAGTTTCCACCATTCTTATTTTTTAAATTAAATTAAAAGCAAACAAAAAATAATCAAGGAAAAAATCAGAAGAGTTCAATTGCTAGACTTGCTTTTTGTTTTTATTATCAACAATCAAGTTAATGGTACACTCTTGGAAAACTATATGCACATGTAGAAATATTCCCCTTTTAAATAGAAGCATTCATTTTAACACATATAAATAAATTTGAAAATCTGAAACATAACTTATGATGTTTATGTTCACAAACAAAGTCCAACAAGAAGAAAGAAGAAATCAGACAGACATGCACCTGATAAAAAAAAATATATATATACCATTGTTTGAACCGTGGTGTCTCTAAACACAAAGGAATTGAACCCGTGAGAACCTTAGTACTTCAAAAAGACACGCCACAGAGACTATGAGAAGAGGAAAAACATTATACGGTCACGTAGAGAAGACGGTCTGTACTGATATTAACACGATACAATTGAATCACAGAACACAGTTGTAGAAAGACATCAAAAAGTTAAAGCCTCAACATTCAACTAATACCTATAGTTTGTGCCTTTTAAAACAAAACAAAACAAAACCCCAACAGATGTCTAAACTGCGCGAAGAATGGAATCATCAATATACAGTCCATCCACCATACAGGATGTGAGTCCATTTCGGATCAAACAGAAGTGCAAACCGAGGCACTTCTGCACACTTGTGTGTGCGTCTTTTCCTTGCTCTGTAGATTTCTCTGCAGTCAGTTGCGTGGACTGCAATTGACTCCAATCCAAAGCCGTGCCAAAAAGTTCAGTAAAAGCTGGTGGAAGAAGAAAATGCCGGTGGGGGCAGCAGAAGAGAACAAAAGGGAAGAGTTGCGAAATATGAGACACAGTTTGCAGAGTTTGCGGATGAAAGGCATTTCATGTATTGGGCATCTTTCAGGACCGAGTGGCTGCAAAGATTCGGGATTAGAAGTTGCAACTGTGTGGAGTTCGAATGCGCTAATGGCGGGATGGTATTCAGCGAGGTGAGACAGTCAAGCTGGTGCGAGGAAGTCACCTTGGCCGCGGGTACAGTCTGCACTAGTCTTCGCCGCAGCAGCCCCGAACCCACGAACAGGAGGGGAAGCAGGGCTGGAAGGCGCCCCTACTTTCCTCTGAGCAGGAGCCCCAAGGGAGTTCGTGCTGTCAGGAGGGCGCGAATTTAGAGGTTCATAAGAGAGAGCCCTCAGACAGTGCCAGCTGCAGCCTCACCTCTGTCCCCCCTTCACATATTTTTCCTTAGATTTTAAAACCTTTTTTTAACTGGTTTTTGCCTTCCTAAATTTTTTTCTTCTAATTTGGGGAGATTTTTTATTTTTCTTATTCTAAGCAAGTCACTGAGTTGGTTGTGCGCCCCCACCCATCTCTCCCTGTCACCTGCTCGAGCCACAGACACACATTCCCACAGACAGACATACACGACATACAGACACAACCCCCTGAGAGTGCCCCGAGTCCAGGCCGCGCTGTTCACACCTCCCAGTCGGCAGGCAGAGCCTTGGCCTGTCTGCGCGGCCCTGAGGCAGGTGCGAAGCCAGGGAAGTTTTTCGTTTTGTTTGGGGGTTCGGGATCAGGGGAGGAGTGGAGTTGAAATGGGGGAGACGCCATTTTCTCTTTATTCTTATCGCGATTACTTTTGGCTCTCAAAGAAAAAGCCACGGCAGCAGCGACGACAATAGCCTTGGGCCTACCCGCTCGCCCG